TAAAAATATGTTTAAATAATATATTAGCTTGTATTTAGTCAGTCACTAATGTGATTAAGTTGTTTCTTTTGGGTTTTCCTTTCTGTTAAAAATATGTTTCAAGTTTAATGAAGATCGGATTTGGCAGGTCCCTGTTTTCTGCCAAGTTTTCTGCTTTTTGGCAAGTTTTAGATGAACGATTCGCAAACACGCAACTCCAGTCAAAAAGCTGGTGCTGCCGTGTGCAAAAACTATTAAAACAGGTGGCCAATACACTCACCCAAATATATAAGTATTTTTCCATTACGAAAACATGCAACTGGTTGACTAATTTCCTACCCACTTTTCTTATCCATCACGCCCCATCTTCTGAGGAAACTCTCCCTTTCTCCGGCTTTTATTTGATTAGATTTGATGGGCCGGCGATAAAAAATAGTTCTATATGGTAATAAACTTTGTGTTTGCCCTCGGGCGCTTGCATGAATATTTCAAAAATTAAATAATCACGCCTTTCGGGGCCGTATTTTTGATGGTTTTTTAATTTTGTTATTTTCTGGTGAATAGATGATGCGTGTTTTATAGCCGCGCTGATGGATGGGGCTGCCAAAGGCGTAGAAAGCTTGGCCAAGCAAGGGTTAAGGCCAGCGAAAACTGAAAATTTATGATTGCGTGAAGTTGGGCATTTAAAAGAAATTTGGATGATAATTTTATGAGCAAAAACTACAAGCAATTTAAATATTTATTCAATAAATTATGATTTTTTTTTTCACTTTTTTATAAGTGCTAAGATCTAATGGATTTTCATATTTTAATTATTTGTTTCTGGCTCATAGTTATTTTAATTAGTTTAAGCTTTATCCGCTTTAAAAATTCCATTATTCCGCATTTAATTAGTTTTAAATGCATTTTAATTAAACTGAGACTTTGCAACTCGCTGTCCTGCATATAAATTAACCGCAAAACAAATAAAATGTTTGTAACATTTTTTTGCCCAGCAGTTTTAGTATTGATAAAAGTTAGAATTCAATTTGCTGTCGAGATTAGTGAGAGTATAAACTAAAGGAAAGGGGGAAAATCAATTCCAACTTTATGTTTTTTGTCTGGGTTTTTACCATGACCATCTCTCACCTATTTTTGGCCACGAATTTTTTTTGCTGCCTGAAAGTTTTTGCCAATAAAAAAAATGCCCGCGTCATTTATAAGCCATTTAATCATCGAGCATTCTTGGACTTTTAGTTCCGTCAGCTGTCGCTACTGCATTTTACTCGACTCGTTCACTATTTTTAGAGTGTTTTTTAGGCATTCTCCAAAAGAGCAAAACTCTTGCAATTAGTCAGCTGCTTGTCGCCGAAAAGTGTCAAAATATTTTTGCCAGCAACAGTTTTTCCTTTTCATTTAGCTTTCTTTTTTTTACTCAGCATTCTATTTTCCCTTGCATTGAATCAGAGAATGTGTGCAAGTTGGCTAAGAGCCAGGGGATGAAGAACAAGGGGAAAGGATATATATCTACAGATGTGTCTAAAATTATAGAACATTACTGGTACTTATATTTCTCTTCAAATTTAAATTTTATGAAAATAAAAAAAAATTGTGAATTTGCCATATAAAAGCTATTTGATTTATGATCAAACAAAATTAAAAAAGAAGCATGTATGCTTATTACTTTTACCAAATTGAGTAAACCAAATAATTTTGTTAAAAATTGTCTTAGGAATTATTAAATTTTCTTTGTTTAAATTTTTGTTTTTTTATAAATGTTGCTATTTAATTGGCCACATCTGTGGGATGAGCTGCCGTATGTCGTGGCCAAAATGTCACGTATACGTCGTGTGGCCTGCCACAGAATCTGCCTCGCCTCCTTCACGATTTTCACGCCTGTCTCGCGCTTTTCCACTTTTCCTCGCCGACTGGCTCTCCTTTGGCTTTTGTTTTGCTCTACTGAAGGTAATTACGTCATTAACAAGAAATTTGGAAAGTGCTCGTCATATCATTTGGCTTGTGTCAACTGTTTGGCTGCTGTTTTCTTTGAGGAGGGTAATTGCCGGTCTGTTTTTGGGTAATAAATGCGTTTCGAAAGGAGACACTTTGTTCGGGGTAGAAATGAGCAGATTATTTGCACAGATTGTAAACTATTAGGCATTGTAAATTGGGTTAATTTGACTTGATGCAGAAGCAGATACAATTCCGGGAAAGACTTTTCCGTAAACATTTACACTTGCAAGGAGGTAAATTTAATGTATTTCATTGGTTGTTTATCGCTAAGTTTTAGTGGGTTATTAAGGTGGTCTAGTCAAAACCAGAAATAACTTACAATTGTGAGACTAATATAAAACTGTATAAATACTTAACCACTAGTAAATTATTAAATGGATATTGTACTATTTTTGGTGTGGTTTGATATAGAACCTCTGAATAAATACAATTATCCTAATAATCCCTTGATTGTCAACCAATCTATTAGTTGCGCCCAACAATGTCCATATTTCATTGGAAAGTCAACAGAACTCTATGGAACCTACCTTTTGCATTTTTGATTATTTGCTTTTGCCTGTTTTGTGTCTCCTCGTTATTTGTTCTCTAATTAGATGTCACAGACATTAACGAACATTTCCAGGAGTGACTGTTCAGTTCTCAGTGCTCTTTTGCTATTTTTGCTTGTGGCACGCCTGACTGGCCACGCCCCCAGCCAGCAGATATCATGGGCGGATGGGCGGCTGAGGGTTGGGCGATGTGGAGCCTCTGGGCTATTGAACCCACTCAATGCCACTCAACTCTACCTGTCTGTGTATATATGCATCGCTATATAGCCATATCGCTCGCCTTTGATCTGGAACTTGGTTGCCCACAATTTGTCGTCGTCGTCTGGCGCTGACATTGATTTTGATTGCAAAGTTTGATGTTTGCATATGCAACTCATTAATGCAATGCCACTTTTGCAACTGCAACTTTATCGTGGAGTAGAAACTTTTTGCCGCCACGCATTTAATTAAATAAGTTTTCTGTTAACAACTCCATGTTTTTGGAGGTGGGGCTCTTGCAATATTGACAACAATTTATCAAAAACTATTAAGGCTGGCGCCATTTTATGCAAATCACTGTGCACAGTGAGTGCCATTTATATGCAACCGCCCGGTTCGGTGTGTCTGGCTCTGTCAACCGGCATTAGCATCACCATCAGCATCATAATCATATTTCCAGTTCACTTATATAGACAACACCAAAAACAACGCAACTATATGGTCCTCTTTGTTGAAAATACACAGTGAGAAAATGTCTTAAAAACAGAGGGATATTTTATAGAAAAGGTATATATATTGGTAGACTACAATAAATAGTTAGAAAGTAAAAACAAATGATATGTCAATATTACTCGAAAAGGAAAAGGAAATAAATAAATTTCCCATAATGACTTATTTTTTGAACTATTTGAATTTGAATCTTCAATAGATTTTTGTGACATAAGAAACCGAAATTCATAGTTTTTCTTCCTGTATTTCGGTTCTTTGTTTGTCAAATCACCTCCCCTTCTTGAAAAGCCGGGGTTATGTTTTTGAATAGCCATTTTAGAAGTCAACAACAGCTTATAGTTATGACTCCGATGGCCCCCGTAATTGAGTTGCAGTTGAAAAGTGGGGGAAAAATGGAAAGTGGGTACTTGGGGCCTTATGCAAAGCACTCCATGGCCATAAATTGCTTGGGCTTGACTTGCTTCTTGCATTGTTTAAGCCAAATTGCTTTCGACAACCACCCAAACAATACTCGAGGGGATCGAAGAAGAAGTTATCTCAACACTACAGCATTGCACACGCTTTATCGCCTGATTTAACACGGCTCACATATGGGTAAATAAATAACGAGAAATACATTTTATGGGGAGTGAGAGAGACATTTTTAGTTATTTTCTGTATGCAATTGTCAAAGTCGCTTTTATTCTCGGACCAAACTGGTTTCCATGTCGTTATTTAGTTCTGTGGGCAGTCGGGAAAGGAGCGGATATTATTATTATTGGATGTAGGGGCTTTGTGGCCGTCGTTTTGGAGTGGTCATCTCAATCAGTGTCAGAGGAGCGACTTAAGAGTTGTGAAGAGTTTGACAAATGATTGTTCGAGTGCCAATTTCCTTATTGGGATGCTGGTAATCCAATGCAAACCGGGGGATAATCAAGAAATCTCTGATGAGGAAGTGTAAATGAGGAAATTTGAATAAGAGATGTAGGAGTTAGATAAAATCAAATAACAATTTTATTAATGCCTTTCCGACCTTAAAATGTTTAATTTCGATTTTCGAGTAATCACACAGCAATCAGATAAGTTTCTATATCATTTCAATAGTTGCCGCCGACCCACTTGCTTTATTTTCGACTTCTCAGTTTTGTGCGTTTTTATAATAGCGAAAAAAAACACAAACAGAAATCATTAATGCAATCAACAAACCAGGAAAGCCAGACGACACGCCTCCCATTGAAAACCCCTTAGAAAAATAAAAACAGAAACCAATTTTCATGCCTCACTGAACACTCAAATAGGCGCTTTTTGCTAAATGTTATTATTTGATCATTTCGACAAACAACAGAATTAAAAAGAAAACTTAATTATACAGATGGATTAAAGAGGGGGAATGGGCAATTCCCCCTCGTATACAAAAATAAACTCAGAAATGCATTTTCTATTTTCGGTCGAATATTTTTAGTTGGTGTAAAATTTGTTGATTATTCATTTGGGGGAAATGGAAATGCAGTCCCCTCGATTTTCCATCTCTGGGGTCACACTGTTTATTATGGGCGACCACGCTCGACTGATTTATGTTCGTTTATAACAACGAAATCTGCGTTTTGTTTCCCCCGTTTGTTTGTTTTGAAGTTTTCCCAACATATATATATATACATAGAAAACAGACAACTTGATTGGAGCCATCATTATGCAATCACTGAATGTCACTTAATAAATCTCTCACATTTCAGCGCAATTAAGTGATTTGTTTGCGTAAATGTATTTATGTATATTTTTCCTATTTATTTTCAGGCGTCACAATGCGAGAGAAAAAGGGAGGAGCCCTCCAAAAGCTCAAGAAGAGGCTATCGCACAGCTTTGGCAGATTAAGTGAGTAGAAATTATAAATTTATTAATTGTAATTAAATATGTCCAAGAAAAAACTGTGGTTTTCTTGCCTTGATTTGTCAATATTCCCAGGAAATATCTCTCAATGAAGTTGAGTCATTCTGTGATTTGTGTTCCATGTGGGTGCAGTTTTTCAAACAATAGTTAGTTATGGTAATGCAAAAGTGTATAGATATTAATACATGTATATATGCATTAATGCACTCGAAGTTGCGGCTTCGAAAAACTTGTTTAAATCAAGCAGGCGTTGCAGCAAATGTCAAATGGATAAATACGAAGTTGAAACTTAGGAAATTTGTTAGCCAGAACTTGAGTCAATCAATGAACAATGATTTAAATTAAACAATCTTTTAAAACCTGTAACTGCAGCGTTAAAAAACAGATTCCGTTCAATTTTCCCATTCAAACATCAAGTTTTTTCGCAGCTGTTATGAATTCAAAACATTTCCTGCCCTAAAGAACCCCAACTTCAATACTCTCTCAGCTGCAAAAACCCCTCTACTCATTCCATCACAAAGTTTTGCATTTAGACGAACAAAAACTGCAGTTCTTGTATACTGTCCTTCAGGTTTTTCTGACCAAAACACAATTCACAAATAAAAAAGGAGTGTAAACGCAATTTTTATTTAAAAAACTTTTCTCATGGCAAACCGCAACAGATACAAACACAAAAAAAAAAGGAAATGCAAAACAAATTCGCATTTTCAGACAGAAACTTATCGATTTTTTGTTTTGGCATGGTGGGAAAAGCTTTTAATGGTCTAAAAAAGCATTTTGATGGGTTGTCAGTTCAGCTCTTTTCGCCGGGGTAATTGAATGCACTCGTTCCCAGTCAAATGCAATTTGACAGACAAAAGACCCCGAAATATGCAAAAAATGGCGGGAAGTGTAAACAAATTTTGATGAATTACTTGATCGAATGTGAATGGGAGGGACGTTCCCCTCTAATTTGTGGGATTTCATAAAATTCGCCATGCATTTATGATGGTTTATTTAGGCATGACATGGAAACCCGTATAGTTTGCATCACGTTGACTCACTGAAAAACCCGTTTTGGTTGCTTGATTTTGCGGCATGCGGCTAATTGTCTTTCAACGCCCACGAAACAGTTTTTATTTTCGGTTTTGTTCAGCTCTTTTTTGCTGCCTTCATTTCTTGTTCCAGAAACTAGTTCGGCGAACAGCTGTTTTTCTTCCCATAAGCGGAGTGACTTAGTGCTTTTGTCCAACCAGGGGCGTAGTTAAAGATATGGCGGTACAAAATGTAAAACAAAGTCATATTTTTAAGGCAACCCCTGAATATCTGACTAATGGTCTTGTTTACCTGGAAATCTTACCATATTTGGCTTGAGTATTATTTGACATTTTGTGTCAGGGCTTTTGTTTTGATGGACCGAAAATCAGGGACTTATACGGTTTTAAAATGTGGTAAAAAATATCTGAAATCAATAAAAGAATGTTTAAACTTATTAAATAATTCATTCATATTATTGATTTGATAACAAATATTTCTTCAACTGATTTTCTTTCATCAATAAGACCCTCAACAATAAAATCCTTTTTGCACCACTCTTTTCACAACTCATGTTCAGTGAGCAATTTTACTATTTCGTCTCGATGAAAGATGAAATTTTCAGCGAATTTTCTCCACCACACCCGATATGTCAGCGATTTCTCCTTGGAGTTGCAACACCCCCATCAACAATTGGGCAATCCTTCAAGCGGAAACAATTTCAAATGCAACTTGAGCTTGCATTGAAACAATTTCTCACGATTTTGCCATTTGGGAGCAGCTTCTGTGCTCGCCTCGGCTCATAAATGTTGCATTACCCCAAAAAAAAAAAAAAGATCTAGTAAAGTTGATTTTATTTCAGCTGCTGCTGTTTAAATGTTTTCATTGCATTATTGAGGAGTTTGGTGCAGCAGCTGCTGATCAAACTGAAAAGGAGGAGAAATAAAAGCAAAGAATGTCACTCGAGTGGCAAGTTGCAAGTTGCAAGTTGCAAGTTGTCTGCCAAGGCCATTACAACAACCCACTAACTGTAGTTGTTAGTTGTTGGACTTGTCTCGGTTGTTTGTCAGCCAACTGATACTTGCAGCTTAACTATCGTTAATTGCCGCACGAGCTGCCGCTTGTTTCCCCTCGTTTTTAATTATACCCAGCTATGTGCCTGTATCTCACTGTCGCTCCTTCTAAACTGCTTCATTCGCCGGCCATATAAGTTATGAAGTTATAAGAGGTTGCACAAGAAGTTAAGTACCTACACGTGACGAAAAATCGCATAACTTTAGCTGGTGAAATTATGATATCATATCAGTTGTGGCAAGAAAATAACATTAAGTATTTAGCTAAACATTTTGAGAAGGCAGGGAGAGCCGATTGTTGCTTTACTTTTCCTTTTATTGAAAATCTTCTTTAGACATACTCTTTTTCCCCTGTGTAACTCGCAGTTAACTAGGGAATTCATCGCGTTTCCTCTTCAGCTTTTGATGAGTGCATTCCATAGATCGGAGAATTACAGACTGGAATTACACACATATTTACTTACAGACATCGAGATTTCTTTGTCATCATGGCTTTTTTTTCTCGTTGGGCTTTAGATAACTGAGAATGATTCATTGGAGTCATGGTTCTTGTGTTCGTGTTCTTTGATGATGTCTATACAGTGATATTTTCTTGTTTGGGGATTTTACGACTTTGTGCTTATCAAGTTTCAGTCATGCTGGTAAAGAAAGAATAAATCTATTCATATTATTTGTACTCTCTACAAATTTAAAGATTTATGTTCATTTGATTTTGATATTATTAACTGAAAATTGGCTGCTAAAACTAAAAAACCAGTACAAGGAAGACAGAAAATCAACTCTAATCTGGGTCTTAAGCTTCACTTAAATCTGCCGAATTGGACGGAGAAAAGGCAACAAACTCCACTGAACTCAAGTGAGAAATCCTCAACTTACTTAAACAACAATTGTGACACTTATCCCTCCTCCCAGTTTTTCGCCTAAGAAATAGAGGATAACTTTCCCGACTGAAGTGAGATTCTTGAGATAACCTCGAGGCTCCTTTGCTCCTTTTTGGTGTAAATATTTTATGGCGTCGAATGTCCGACTTTGACACTTGGTTGTCGGCTATATCGTCGCCATCGCATCATCATCATCGTCTCTATTTCTTTGTGCCAGTGATACAGTTCTCTACACAGTGTTTTACCTCGCTCTTTACAACTTTTTTGCTCGTCTTTGAAGGCTTGTCATAATCCTTTCTGATAACATTTTATGTCACAAGCCATGGCCAAACACACTCCACGTTGTCTATGGCTTTAACCCTTGACTGGTGTCCGTCCCACTGGCTGCCAGTCGCAGCCACTTGATAACTTTACACTTGAGCTCACTGTCGCTGCTATTTTCAGTCCTACTCAATGGCAAAAAAAAGAGGGAAAATATAGAAAATGTATATAAAAGAATCAGCAGCCGAAGACGGAGCGCGATAAGCAGCTAATGGCCGCCGACTGTTGATGCTTCCTCCATCGACTCGCTTTTATCTCCCAGCAAACTCCACCAACTCACCCACCCTCGTTACATGGTATCGCCCCCATCCACTTCCCGGGTCTTTCAAAGCCCACAGATGAGCTCAACTGGACCCTGCCCGCATATGTGCTTGTGGTACAGTGATAACTGCTTCGAGTGGATCTGTAGTTCGCCTTGCGAATGATTCATGGGTGGGTTCTCTGCTGAGAAATGCGGGTCACAAGCTTTAAATTGATTGGCAAATCTTCTTACAAGTGATTAAAAATCAATTAAGAAGTGATTGACTGGCTTTGATACAGGGCAGTTATATTATTACTCAGAATAACCTTAAAAGCTGATTTAAAGCTCTTTTAAAATTTAAATGATTTTAAACACCTTGGTATAAAGTTTTTTATAGAAATGTTTTCTAAATCTCCAGTTATTTGAGAAAATGAATAAAGGAATTTATTTTTCGTTTGACATTTAAATAAAGATCTTACATATTAATATTAAGTATGAAAATTAGTTGCACTATAATAAAAAAAAAAACTTTTATAAAGAAAATGTACCTTGCATTTAATTTGGAGTAATCACTGTACCGTCCATTCAAGTGCCACTGAGCAGATTCCGCTATCAGAACACGCATCGTTTCTCGCTTTCTCATAGCCTTTCAGCATTGTATTTACGCTCTGATTTGTGAAGAGCAGAAAACGCTACAGATGCCATCGGCCCCGCCCACCTAGCACCGCCGCCCACTTCCCCCTAACCTTCCGGCCCAACTTATCTAAAGATTTGAAGTACGTATATGTGGACAAATCCGCTTTGGTGGCCCGTTTAATATGTCATGTCATTGATATGAAACGTTCTTTCAGTTCGTTTCAGTTTTATTTTCCGGCATGAGAGATGATCTCCGCGACGGCCACACGTCGTATGAGTAATCACGCACATGACCTCTCGCTCGCTTAAGCACATTTAATGCACTTTTCCCCCAACCTTTTTCACTAAATGTTGTACTATTAAATATATGCTATATGAGAAAATACTCATATATGTTTCTAGCGCAAAATCCATAAAGCGGAAGATTTTTTTACGCCCTCAGCGCGTTGAAAAGAAATTTATGCGGGTATTTTCTGTGTTTTATTACACGAATTTCTGAATTTCTAAGCAATTTAGTGAGGCCCCTCACGTTGAGGGTTTTCCTCGATTTTTCCGCGCTTATGTTTGTGACATTGATGAGTGGCACTGGGCAGTGAACTGTATATGGGGTTAATGGTTAAGGGGTTAAGGGTTAAGGTAAGGGAAAATGGGTTGGGAATGTAAATTTAACTTGGAAATAAGTTAGCTTGGCTTTTGCAAATGTAATATCTGTAAAAAAATTACTTAAAAACAACCAAATATTTTCTGTTTTCGTTAGTAATTTATAAATTCCATAAACAAGCCTACTCTAAATAACAATTTTTGGTTTATGACCAAACC